TTCGTGGGGGGGCGGGGGGGGGGGGTTTAAGCCATGCTAAGCTGCAAAGGATTTTGGCTGGGTTTCCTTTTGGCTGCCTTCCTCTCTTCTTGGTGCTGGGGGGGCTGGAGACCTGCTCTTCTGCGTAGGGCCCAGACAAGGTTCCCCTCAAACGGTCACCTTAGAGGATGCCCTGCTAGAGAGAAAAACATCCCTCTCTGGGTATTTTTGCCTCTGCCCTGCAGGAGCGTGTCTTCTGCGTCACCCTGCTTTGCTGCCAGGGCTGGGGTGATGCTGGAGCGTGCCCTCGCTGCCTGCAGAGATGGGGGTGCTCCAAAAGCCTTTGCCCCTGCCTGGAGCCCTGATGGTCAGCAGCAGGCAGGGGGCTGAGCCAGGACCAGCATCCCCCTGCAGCAGGTGGGGAGGACAGCAGGGGGAAACTGCCCAGCTGGGGAAGTCCAGCTTGTCCTGGGGGCGAGGGGAGCTGCAGCACTCGGCCTCCGGGGCGCCTGTGCCTCCGTGACATCAGCCACCTGCAGCCTCACATCAAGGCAGCTCTGCGCAATCAATAAGTAATTTGTGTGAGGGGGTTTGCATTGCACGGAGCAATAATGAACTCTCTGGAGGAGGGAGAAACAACATTGTTAATGCTGAAATCATCGGGCACAGAAATAACAGTCAGCAAGAGGCTGGGTCGCTGGGGCACGTCTTGGTTAATCCCCCGCCGCTTGCCGGGTGGCATGCACCAGGCCACCATGCTTTGTCAGTGTGTGGGGGCCTGTGGTTGGGCTGGTGCCATGCGGCTGTGTCGGGGAGGCACCTTGCAGTCAAAATGTCCCCTTCCCACCTTGGAGAATTATTTTCTTCACCCCAGGAGGTTTACTTGTGCTGGCAGAAATGTGTCCATCGTTTTCAAACTGACTGCTCCCTTTAGCTCCATTTCCTCGTCCTGTTTTTTTTGTAATTTAATTTTTTTTTCCCAAGATTGGAGAGCCTCTCCTTGCTGCTTCTCACAACTCTATGCTGCAGCCACTGAATCTCTGGTTGCATTAGCAAAACCTCTATGAGCTTTTGAAACCTTTTGAAAGTATTTGAAAATATTTCCAGGGGCTCGGGTGCTGCGAGGACCCTAGCCCTGGTGTGGTGGGGACCCGACCCTTATCTGTCCTGGGGCGCTGCCGTGAGCAGCAGTCCAAGAGCTGCCCTGTCCTTGCTTAAAGCAGGGGGATGGGGCAGTGCAAGGGGACTCAGCGTGATGTGATGTGATGTGGCTCTGGCTCTTTCTGTGAGCTCCTGCTCCATGGGGGGAAAGCTGGGAGCCCAGCCTGTCTGGCTCTCCCTAACGTTGGGTGCGACATGTGTCTGTCTTGCAGGTCCATCAGAGGGGCTGGGGTATGGCCGCACCTCGCCCTGCAGGGAGGAGAAGGCCAGGGCTGCCCTCAGGCATGGCTCCAGCAGCCTCAAGAGCACGAAGACGCTGATTGCTGAGCCTGGCCCCTTCGTCGGGGAGAGGATTGACCCTGCCCTGCCCCTGGAGAGCCAGTGGTGAGTCCTGCCTGCCCCGAGCACTGCCCAACCCCTCCGCCTGCTCCAGGATCCCTGTGGCCACGCCACAAGGAGCCCTGGGGTAGACCTGCTTCTTCCCTTCTTCCCTGGCACCGCGTTTCTGCCTGCTTGTCCCTGCCACCCTTCTCACAGTCGTGGTGTCCCCATGTGCCCTCTGAATCCCCCTCAGCTGCCCAGTGGGAGCCCTGCCCCTTGTCCTCCAACCCTGGTGGTGCCACCCACATCCCTCTCCTTGAATGTGGCTGCTGTCCCTGGGGAGGTGCTGGGGGTGCTGGCGTTGCTGCTGTCCTGGGGCAGAGTCCTGCCCGGGGTGTCCACTCTCTGCCTGGCACAGCCGGTCCCTCTCCTGCCTGCAGCTGGTACCACGGGGCCATCAGCCGGACAGATGCGGAGACGCTGCTGAGGCTGTGCAAGGAGGCCAGCTACTTGGTGCGCAACAGCGAGACCAGCAAGAACGACTTCTCCCTCTCCTTGAAGTGAGTGAGCCCAGATGGGGCTAGGGGGGGTGGTGGACCCACAGCAGAGGTGACCAGTGCCCACCAGTGTGGGTGACCCCTTGCGGGTGGGTGCCCCACGTGAACATGTGCCTGTGCCAATAGGGTAACTCATCATGGAGATGACCATTGGGTGGTCAAAAATGGCTGGAATATGAAGTCTGTACTTCTTTGCAGTGTGGCACAGGCTTCTGGTTTGGTGTCTGGCAAAAGTATCTCTTGGGAAGGCTTGTAGATCTGGAGCGACACTGCCCTTCCCTTGGCAGTGCTAGTAATCCCTTGGGTAGATAAAATGGTGTGCCTCACTGCTCAGAATGTGTCTGGTTACAACTTCCAGCTCTGGCTTCTTGTTACCCCATTTTTTTTGTAGCTTAGTTTCATGGGAGAATAAAGCTTGTGTGATCCCGTTGTTGATGGAAATGTGGGTACCCATCCCTGCCTCCCCAGCCCACATATCCATTGAAGCCCTTGCTCAGCTGTGATGTAGAGAGGGCATTATGCTGCTTTGGTTTCCCAGCAGGGAAACCTCATCCCCACAGCACAGCTTGGTTTCTGCTTGGTTTTTTGGGGGGGATATTTGCACTGTCCCCGATTTTTCCAGATTCCCTTAGTGCCAAAACTGCATGAAGCATTGCCGCACGTGTCCTGCCAGGGAGAAGCTGCCCATAGCTCCTCATTCAGCTCTTTCAGGACTCTTGGGGCAGTCCAAACCCACAAAATCAAAGCTGTTACTGTCCTGAAGATGATGATGGATTAGCAAATACCTTCTTGCCCTCCTGCTAGGCAAGTATATTAGCTCTGTTCCTGGCAGATGTGAAAAAAGTATTTATTGAGCACTTCAGTCATGTCTGCCCAACAACAGGCCACGTATCCCTACGCTTTTCTCAATATACTTTAAATTTCCCCAGTGGTCTCTGTACCTGCATTGCTCCCTGATGGTTTCAGCCTCCCCTGTTTTTTTCCCAGTGACACAATTGTGAACTAGATTGCTCTGTCTCTCTCTCTCTTTTTTTTTTTACACTTTTTTGCTCTCTTCAGCACCAAACCAGGGCAGAAGTTTAGCTGAAAATATTCTTTCTTCCTTCTGCACTTGTAGCTTTCAGATTAGACAACAAGCCTTTCTGGAAAAGCTCCCTCCTTTCCTTTTTTTGGTCAGAATTTTTACTAATGTTTTAATTTTCTCAATATTTTTTCCTTGCCCAGGCTCGCAAGCAATTTTGAAGCAACAGCTTCTGCTGGTTGATGAGTCATATTTAAGGCTGCGAGAGGTCCTCTCAACCATTGCCTTGTGGGTGGCATTAGCCAGCATGTATGTTGGAGAGCCTGGGAGGTGGTGTTGGGGTTGTGGATGGGCTTCCTCCCTTGCCAGCATGGGTGCCCCTTTCCATCACCTCTCTACAAGTGAGTCACCCATTTCTTTTTTTTTTTTTCCCCTTACTTCTTACTGCCCATCCTTAGCCTCATGGCAAAAATGGCCAAATTCTCTTCTCAGAGGGCATGTGTGGCTAGGATGTGGCCTTGCAGTGGCGTGCCACCTCCCCAGAGGAGACTGCAGCCCATCTAGGAGCTGCTCGGGTATTGCCTGTCCACCAGCCGTGCTTACAGAGAGCCCACAGCCTCGGGAGCATGATTTTTACTCCATTGCACTGTAGACCCTTTTGAAGGAAAATCCCCTGGGACACTTTTTATATAGCTGTAAGCTGACTGTCTGCGTCTCTCTATTTTTTTTAACTCTTTCCTTTTTTCCTTGAGGAAGGAGGCACAGCCGAGAAGATGGTCTGAAAGAGATCTCAGGTGCTGACCTAAAGCCCTTTTGTGCTGCTTTAAAGGAAAATATGCACAAGAGAGAGCAGCAGGAGCAGCTGTACTCATATCATGTCAGGTAGCCGGAAGGATTTAACCCTGCCATGACAGTCCTGGCTGGTCCAGGCTAGGCAGCCCCACGTTGCCTGTCATGGGCAGAATTGTAGTGGTGTTGCCTCAAACACTCAGGGAATGAGTCCCTCTTGTCTTACGCCTCTGTGAGAGTGGCCGAGGCCACGCTGCAAAGGTTTGGGTCCTTCCTCGCATCTCGGCAGGAGCAGCACCTGCCCCTTGTCCTCATCCTGGCCCTGCTGCTGGCTGTGAGGCTGTCAGATTTGCAGCGTGCTCCTTCAGGCATCTCTCCAGTGGTCCGGTCTCAGTCACGTCCCTGAGCCTGTGACAGAGACCCGGGGAGTGATGTGGGCAAAACATAACCAACGTCACCTTTTTGTGGACCTGTATGGCAGCGCTCTGGCTCTGGACTGGCCCTGATCCTGCACTGGGGTCCTGCTCATCTCTCCCCTGCCAATGCTAGGCAAGGGCTGGGTCTGCCTACAGACAGGGTGCAGTGCCAAGGACAGCACCCATGGGCAGCTCTGCGTGTTAGCGGTGCAACCATGTGTGTGTGTGCAGGATAAACCCGTGCACCTTCACAGGGTGCCATGTGTGGTGCAGCCACCACAGCTCTTTCCCACACCCCACTGCTGGGACACAGGATGCGGCCGGCTATCGCTTTTCCTTGGCCCCTGGAAGGCGGCTGTGGCTCTCCCCCCTGCCCTCCCCCTGGGCGGCTGGCTCCCTGCCTGTTGGCGCTAAATGGATTGCAAACCCATTCTGCTAATGCAGCCGGGCTGTCCATTACGGGCACTGTCTCCAGCTGGGGGGATGGGACTGGCCTGCGCAGTGCTGGAAGTGGCTCAGCATTGCTGATGAGGTCCTGTCTGCTTTTAAGTCATCAATATTTTGCCGTAATGTGCATTCCAGACGCTGCAGACAGGCTGTGGCTCTCCTCGGAGACACAAATTAATAGCAACAGGGCCATTAGCCCGTCACTTGGAATCAGTGCTCGTGGCAGGATCTGCCTGCACAGCCTCGCGTGGCTCGGTGCCCGTGCTGTGCTGGGAAATGGCTTTGCTACGCTGAGCGGGTTTTATGGAGCCCACAGTGTTGGCATGGGGGGCGCAACAGGCTGTGAGCTGAAGGAGAAAATCCTGCTTTGCCACGGTGAGGCTGGAGGTACGTGAGCCATGCTCCTCCTATGTGAGCCAGGCGGTTGCAAAAGGGGCTTTGCCACATGCGAGGGGCGAAAGCCGCTGTCCCTACGTCACCATGCAGCAAGAGCCCCTGCTGCTCCTGCCTGGGCTGTGTCCTTGCTTCCCTACCTGCATGCACTCACCCCAGCCTCGGGCACCGTCCTTGTTCCCAGATGGACCCCTCACACCCCACTGCGTGGCTGTGCACCCTGCGGGGGGACACAGTGCAGTGTGGCCAGCCATGTCCCTCCCTTGCGCTGTGGACTTTGTCTGGAGTTGGCCAAGAGCAGGATGATGCGGGCAGGGCTGTGGCTGGGGACAGGAGCCAGCAGCATCACCCCCAGCTGAAGGGGCAGGCTGCCTGTCTCGAGTGGGACAGGAGCTGACGGGAAGCCATGGCCAGCTGTACCCCATAACCCTGCCTTGATCTCTCCTTGCAGGAGCAGCCAGGGCTTCATGCACATGAAACTGTCCCGGACCCAAGAGAACAAGTACGTGCTGGGTCAGCACAGCCCACCCTTCGACAGTGTGCCGGAGATCATTCATCACTACGCCAGCCGCAAGCTGCCCATCAAGGGGGCTGAGCACATGTCCTTGCTTTACCCGGTGGCTATACGTACCCTATAGTCCTCACCCACCATGAGCCAGGCTCGAGGCCGGGTGCACCCAGAACTGGCCCATCCGCAGGGCTGAGTGCCACCATGCCAAGGATGGGCTCCGGACCAGCAGCCCGCAAGCAGCTCACTGGGCACAGCCAGCACTGTTGGGGATTGCTGCAGCCGGACTCCTCATCCCGCTCTCTCAGGGGGCTCCCGTGTGCCAGTTTGCCTGCTGGGATGGCACCGGGGGGACCCCCCGTGTGAGGAGCTGAGCAGGGCTCGCCGGCTGCCCACTGCTCTCGCCTGCCTCCAGGCAGAGCTCGGGATGTAAGGACTGGAGCTGGGGCCTTGGAGAGCCCTGGGGGGGACGATGTGTGGGAAAAGGGGGAGAAATCATCCGTTAACAGGCTCCAGGTGCCTCCAAGAGGGTGCCTGGCTCTGCCAACAGGAGACAAAAAGGCTGTGCCTGCAGCCGTTCCCTGGGGCTAGCGAGGCACAGGGGAGCCAGGCCAGCAGTGGCCCCCACCCGCATGGGTGCTCAGTACTTGCTGCCATCCTTTGCCAAATGTGACCAGTCTCGGCTGCGCGTGCAGCACCACTGCCTAATAAAGCGGTGCATGGTCACCTCCTGCTCCATGGGGACCGTGCACCTGCATCCCACCACCTCAAGTGGGGGATCAGTGTGGCAAAATGGCGGGGAGGGGGATTTTATTACACAAAAGCTCTAAGTAAATTGATTTTTCCTTTGCTCTTGCATACACTGAGACCTGTGTGCCTGAGCAGTCCAACCAACTCACTTGTCTGAGACACAGGGGACAAGGGATGCTGGTGGTCACGTCCTTGCAATGTCTTTGGGACTCTTCACGGGCAGCGATGAGCTGATTTTGGACTTGCCTGTTATTCCCTGTAGAAGGGGGTGCTCTTTGGGATCTTTTGCCTCTTTGTTTTCCTTCACCCCTGGTAAGTCTTAGGCAAAATCCCTGAATTTCACAGATCTCCTGTTCTCCTTTGGGTATTCAGTGGCTCCAGTCCTGTTCTTCATCTTCCTGACACCTTGTCTTTGGGCCAGCTTGCTCCTTCTCCTCATTTGGCTGAAGCTACATCTGGTGCTCTGCAGCATTTAATGCATACCTTGCCCTTTAACCTTGCTCCTGGTGTTGCTTGCTACTGTACCCACGCATGTACGTTTCTTCCATCCATGCTTCAGACTAAGCTCGCTCTCACTGTTAGTCCCCTGCACTGTGTTCCCTTTCCCCTCTGCTCCCCGTGTGGTCCTGCTGTGCTCTGCAGAGGGGATGGCAGCGGCAAATTTTCTGCTGGACCAGCAAAACCTTTTGCATCAGTGGAGCAAAGCGCTTGGGGTGTTGGCGGGTTGTTAGTGGTGGCTTGATGAAGGCTTTGTGAAAATCATCATCCTCCCCACTGCCTGCTCCCAGGAAGGAGCTGGTCCTGCAGGTTTGCTGTGGGGGATGGAGGTAATCGATGGGACTGTGGGGACCTTGCGTGGGTGACCATTGCAGCCACAGCAGGAACCCTGCTCTACCATCCTGGGCTCTGGGGTTTTCCAGACATAATCTGTAGCTGGGGGATCGCTGTCCTGGCTGTCCATTATGGCTTTGAGCTGCTGTGGGGACCATCAGGCACAGCCAGTGTGGTCCCTGAGTGTATGCTGCGGTTGGGAGCCTGCAGAAACTGTGTTGGTTTGTTCTAGGATGCCTCAGCCTCTGCCACTCCTTAAAAGGCAGCAGTTTGAGCTCATTGGGTGTCTGGTGTCTCCTTACAGCCCTGCTTGGCTGCTGGCAGCTCCTGGCTGCCTCTCCATCCCAGGGAGGCATCTTGTTTGGTGGGAACAGAGGCGAGTGACTCCAGCTGGAGGGTTTTTCTACTGGCATTGCCACACCAGAGCCTGCAGAAAGGCCTGGAGATGCAGGCCACCACATGTTGTGGGTTTTTTTCTTGAGAAACTGTGGCAGGGAGCAAACTGCCTGGCAGCCAGTACTGGCTGTACCAGTGAGCTCACAGCCTTATGGTGAGATCCTGCCCAAGCAGCCTGGCTCCATCTCAGGGGCATCCCTGCTGAGTGCTAAGGGGTGTGAGACCTGTATGCATTGCACCAGCTCCCCAGAAACAGTTACGGACCAGCAGGACTGCTCTGGAGCTGGGCTTTGTGTCCAAGTGCTTCAGCTAAGCAGCTCTCAATCCTCCCTGTGGTGATTACATCCTTCCTCAGCCCTCTCTTCTCCAGGCTAAAGAAGCCCAACTCCTCAAGCATCTCCTTGTACAACACATTCTCTGGCACTGACCATCCTAGTGACCCTCTGCAGGACTCTCTCCTTGTACTTGGGGTCCAAAACTCAACACAGTATCCAGATGTCGCCTCACCAATGCTAAATAAAGGGAAATAACCACTTCCTTTGACCTGTTGGCTACACTCATATGATAACTTGGGTTGGAAGGGACCTCAGGAGGTCTCTGGTCCACCCTCCTGCTCCAAGCAGTGTTAGACCAGAGTCAAGAAGGGCTTTTTTTTGAGAGAAGCAGAACTGCCCTAAGCCCAGCTAGGTTTTTTTCCCCTCTTCATAGCATTACCAGGAGGGACTGGACACCAGGGATGAAGAGCACTGCCAATTCACTGCAACCTGAGGGCAATCCCTCCAGCCCAATGGGGCCTCCAGCTCCATGTGGGCCCTCACGTGGTGGAGGAGGTCCAACAAGAAAGAGGTAGGAGCAGGGTGCAGGATGCAAAGCCAGCCCACAGCTTGACATCGGGTCAGGGGATGGACATGATCTCAAATAGGGCAGATGCAAGCAGGTCTTGGGTCCTGTTTGGACCTGGGGAGGTCTCATTTTGGGATTCTCACAGAAAGTATATGACTCTGGGTCTGGCTGGTACATTGCATCCTCTGTTTGTGATGGGAGCTGATCGGGAGCTGAGAAAATCTGGATTGAATCTCTCTTGCAAGGTTATTTTAGTGCTACCTTCTTCTGTCCCATGACTGAAATGAGTGTTGTTTGGAAATAAGAGAGGGGGGTCAGCCATGTGACGGGGCTAGAGAGATGACGGGGGATCCCCATTCATGAGGATGCTAATCCCCAGGACAGACAAGGGCCTGAGTAACCTGATGTGGCCTTGAGGTTAACCCTGTTGGGAGCATGAAGGCTGACCAGAGACCTTCGTCTGTAGCAATTCCCAGTCCACTTGTCCCAGGAATCCCCTGTGTTCTCCCAGCTGCCTCTGTTTTCTGTCCCTCCTCCGTGCAAGTGAAACAGCTCTGTCATTCATTGCTTGATCTCTGGTCCCTTGCTAAGCCCTCCATAATTGCCAAGCTGTTGTAGCATGCTGCAGGCCCTGATAATGAAGAAGGAAGTTTGTTTTGTAATTGGATTAGCACTGCTGGGAACACGCTCTTGCATGGCAGTCAGGGCTGAGCTGGCGTGGCCCCCAAGCCCTGTGCTGCTCCTCCTGGCTGTGGGCCAGCCTGGGCTGCAGATACTCCTGCACAGGACTTCACTGGTCAAAAGATGTAGTCTTGCAGGAGGAAGGCAACCAAGAGGGATGAAAGGCTGAATCAGGGCAAAATTTGAGCTTGCCCTCCTTGGAAGCAGGGGTGTGTTTGCCAAAACTCTGTCACAGTCCCTAATGTCTCCCACCTGCTGGAAATGAAGCACTTGGGTTAGCCTCAAGCCCAGCATCAGCCTCACTACCCACCCCAGCACAAGCCTTCAGGTCTCCTGAACACCTCATAGACTGGAGAGCATCACCAGTAACTGATCCTTGTGAGACTGGGTAAAACCCTCAGATGTGTGTAGGGTGTGGTTCATCATCCATGCCTCCTCCCTGCCCCTCTGGCCTGGAGGAGTTCCCTTAAGCCCAAGCCTAGTGATTGGTTTAAAACCTCAGCCCTAGCAGTGATGCCTAAGTTGCTTGAATATCACTGAAAACACAGTGCCCTGTATTCTGTCTCCAACCACAGCAATCTGCAGAAGGATCAAATAACCCAACAACTCAGCTGCCAAAGTTTATAGCAAAGGAGAGAAATTTGTTCCTGATCCTTGCAGGCTACCAGCAAAACGTGCAGTGTAGCACATACACAGTGCACATATGCGTGTGGCACACACATGGCCCAGCTGAATGCCTCCTTTCAAATCTTCTTGTAAAGACGAACATATTTGACACAAGGGGCAAGTTTCAGCTCCTAATTCAGAGACCACCTCTGCCCAGTCCATTCAGTAGGCTTCCCCAGCATCATCTCAAACCAGTTACTTGCTCCTGGTACCCTGTTTGAAAATTGTCCCAAAATGTTTGGATGCCTCCACCTAATTTTCAGTCTACACTTGTGAGCAGTTCTCTCCTTTTCCTTGCACTATTTTGGAGGCATGTCTCCAAAACAGTATGCTCGGGCAGATCTTCCAGGTGAGATCTTTCCAGTTCCTTGCTAGTGACGTGGCTGTGTCCCTCCCAAAAATGCATCCCAGGCATGATGACTCCACACTCCCAGCGCTGCACTGCTTGCTATTAACATTAGTGGGGTCATCCCAAGACTGGGGTGGAGGAACACTGCTAGGAGCATTTCTTTGCTCAGAGATACCCCTTTTAATACAACCCATCATTTACTTGATCAGCTGGTTCCTCCTCTGCTATACCCATGACTTCCAGCATTGGAAACTGGTTCAATTCATACTGGGTGGCAAATGAAACTCCTTCCTTAAATCTAACCAGCCTAAATCATAGAATCATAGAATCATCAAGGTTGGAAAGGACCTCTGAGATCGAGTCCAACTGTTAACCTAACTGCCTGGTCCACCTCTAAGCCATGTCCCTAAGCACCACATCCACATGTTTTTTGAATGCTTCCAGGGACTGTGATTGCACCACTTCCCTGGGCAGTCTGTTCCAATGCCTAGCCACTCTGTCTGTGAAGAAATTTTTCCTGATATCTAATCTAAATCTCCCCTGGTGCAGCTTGAGGCCATTTCCTCGTCCTGTTGCTTGCTACCTGGGAGAAGAGACTGACCCCCACCTCGCTACAGCCTCCTTTCAGGTAGTTGTAGAGAGTGATAAGGTCTCCCCTCAGCCTCCTCTTCTCCAAACTAAACAACCCCAGCTCCCTTAGCTGCTCTTCATAAGACTTGTTCTCTAGACCATTTACCAGCTTCGTTGCCCTTGTCTAAGTTAATTATCAAAGAAAAATCATTATGGTACACTGAGAAAATGTGTCTGTGATAAATTCTGTTTCCATTTTCCTTCCTCTCTTGAATCTGTGTTTCCTTCAAAAAAAACCTCAGAAGGGTATGAAAGTCTAGATATGTTTTAATTCCTCTTTTCCTGTTTCTGGATGTGGGAGGC